TGAGATCCAAGTCCAACTGAGCAAGAAAAATGACATAATTAAAAAAACTGTCTAACAGGGGTCTCAATCAAAAATCCAGCAACTTATATAAAAATGCAATTTTATAAAAATGAGCAATTAGTCTCAAAGAAAAATTTCAAATTTTATGAACATTAACAATTTTCTATAATCCAGAGACCTATGCATAGACCATTAGTCATCTCACTTTTTTTCAGAAAAACACTGAAAAAAGTATCAAATTTAATGACCATTTAAATTTTCCATCATCGCAGACCTGTAGCCAACTACTCAATATAAGCATTTTACCAGGTACAGTTTGAGATCCAAGTCCATTGTATGACACAAGAAGAAAAATTACATAATTAAACCAGAACTGCATATTCACAGTGCTCTACCAACTGAGCTATCAAAGGGAAAGAGAAAAAAAGGTTTTTGAGGTTGACAACATATCTAAAAATGAGCAATGTTAATCAAGGGAAAAAAGCCAAATTTTATGAAAATTACACTTTCTAAATCAAGAAAAGATCCTGATATGATCCAGATATGAGACAAATCCATAGTATGACCAAAACAAGAACAATTTGACATTTCCAGTGATCCATCGAAAATGACAGATATACTGGGCAGAATAAACCATCAGTCAAGATAAATGTGTTCCAGATATCAACACTTCTCCAACCATCTTTGACATCCATATCCATTGAAACTGGGCAGAGTCACCAAAGTCACTCTCTCTGGACTGGAAAATGCATTATGAAAAGTTTTAAAGATTTAAAGATTTAAATTTGAAAATGAAACTTCAGAGGTGCACTTGAGCCAAATACTGGCAAAAACAATTCATTCTAAAGTTTGCATTCCAGAATGAAGGTTGCCATCCAGTTTGAATTTCACAGATCTTAATAGCCTTTAAATTAAAATGAAGAAAAGTGTCGATGAGCAAAGATTGAACCAGCGACCTAAGGATATCAGCATTATATGAACACAGTCCTCAGAGTTGACCAACTGAGCATTTGAAGGAAGGATATCCTGTTGGGGGTCTCAATGAAATTACAACTTAGTATAAATGTGCAATTATGAGTATGACAAAAAGCAATAAGCAAGAAAGAATCAAATTTTATGAACAAACAGCAAATCGCAGTGTTATAAATAGAGATCTCAGCAAAAACAATCAAATTTAATGACCATTTACATTTATTTGAGAATGAATGGGCTCCATAGTTACCAGATACACTTGAGATGCAAGTCCATTGTATGACAAAAAAAATCAATAACAAAAAACTGCATAGGCAGTGATTTCATCAAAATCCAGCATACATATCAAAAATAATGTTATAAAACTATCCAAATTAGTCTCATGAATAAATTTGATCCAGATATCAACACTTCTCCAACCAAGTTTGACATCCATATCCATTGAAACTGGGCAGAGTCACCATGATCTACTAATCCTTCTTTTTCAGAAATGACACAAAAGATGGACTGGAAAAATGTATCAAAGTTTTAAAGTTTTAACAATTTGAAAAATAAAATCAACAGATTGGAGCCAAATTTGAAATCAATAAACTTTTGAAAGGATTGCAACAGTCATCTACATGAAGATGAAGGCCTTTATCAAGATGAATACGTTCCAGAGTTGAACCAAATGAAAAATCTCAACAAGAAAAAATGTCTCCAGATATCAAGGGCAGAGTTGAACCATAAAAACAATGACATCTATCCATCAATTATCTGAAACTGTTCCAGAGTCACCATTTTATGACCAATTACACTTTCTATCAGACCTGAATATAAGCTGATATTTATTTTACTCAAAGATTTTGAGATTGAAAATCCATTATGACAAAAACAAAAAAAAAGAGCAATAAAACAACAGCAAGCCAAATGACTGGCATTTTCAAATCATTCTAAAAAGCATACGCTCAAAGCCATCTGAATTCCACAAAGATGAAGGCCTTTACATTCAAAAAAAAAAAAATGTCCAAACAAGGCAGAGTTGAACCATCATCCAAGGATATCAGCATTATGACATCCATAGTCCTTGAAATTTTACCAGAGTCACCATCTATGAGATCTTCAAGTCCAGAAATGACACAAAAGGGCATTTGAAAAATTACAAATATTTAAAAACTTAATTTTCACTGAAATGAGCAATCATCAAAAGAAAGAAGCCAAATATGAACATTAACATTTTATAAAACTATCAAAATTATCTCTCAAAAAGAAGAAATCAAATTTAATGATATTTACATTTTCCATCATCAAGACCTGTACATCCGATATCCATTTTACCAGCTACACTTGAGATGCAAGTCCATTGTATGACACAAGAAAAATTACATAATTAAAAACTGCATATTCACAGTGATACTCATCAAAAATCCAGCATACATATCAAAAAATGTTATAAAACTATCCAAATTAGTCTCATCAAGAAAAATTTGATCCAGATATCAACACTTCTCCAACCAAGTTTGACATCCATATCCATTGACACTGGGCAAAGTGACCATCAGTCAAAAAGTTGGACTCTCAAATTTTTCAGAAATCTGGACTGGAAAAATGTATCAAAGTTTTAAAGTTTTAACCTTGAAAATGATGATACTTCAACAAGACTTGGAGCCAACAGCAAAATCAACAAATTTTTCTGAAAGTTTGCATCCAACAGTCATCTTCATGAAGATGAAGGCCATTACATTGAAGAATGTGTCCTTCGAGCCAGAGTTGAACCAGCGACCTAAGGATATCAGCATTATCATCGACAGTCCTCCACTCTACCAACTGAGCTATCAAAGGGAAAGAGCAAAAAGGTTTGCTGAGGTTGACAATGAAATTACAATTCACTATGAATGTGCAATTTTGCTGAAACGTGCAATAATCAAGGGAAGAAGGCAAATTTTATGAACAATTACACTTTCCTAAATCGCAGACCTGAATATAGATCCTGATATCAGCATTTTACTAACTGTATTTGAGATCCAAATCCATAGTATGACTTAAAAAACAAGAACAATTACGTAATAAAACAACAGCAAATTTACAGTGATACTCTTCGATTGCCAGCATATACATAAAAACTTACCGTGAATAAACTATCCAAAATAGTCTCAACAAGATAAATGTGTTCCAGATATCAACACTTCTCCAACCATCTTTGACATCCATATCCATTGAAACTGGGCAGAGTCACCATCAGTCACTCTCTCACTTCTCTTCAGAAATGACACAAAAGCTGCATTTGAAAAATGTATCAAAGATTTAAAGATTTAAATTTGAAAAAAACTTCAACTTCAGAGGTTAACTAGGAGCTAAAAACTGGCATTAACAATCTCATTCTAAAAGTTTACATTAAAAAAACAGTCCATCTTGAACCAGCGAAAAAGATGAAGGCCTTTACATTAAAAAAAGCTATCAAGGAAAAGTGTCCTTTTGAGGCAGAGTTGAACCAGCAACCTAAGGATTTTGCTGAAAATCAGCATATCAAGAACAGTTTTCCGCTAAAAATTTACCAACCGAGTTATCAAAGGATGAAGAGCAAAATGTCAGTCTCAATGTACAACTTAGTATTGTGGCTGAAATGAGCAATGAGCTTAATGCAAGAAAGAATTCAACTTTTATGAACATTAACATTTTCTCTGAATATAACCTTTACCAGCTACATGAGCAAAAGCAAAAGACAAAGAAAATTTAATGAAAATTGCATTTTCACATGAATCATCAAAACCCAGCATACATATCAAAATTTAATAAGCATAAAACTATCCAAATTAGTTTCAATCCAAGTCCAGATATAACACACAACCAAGTTTTACATAAAAAATATCCATTATTCACCAGATACTCATGAAAATCCAGCATAGTACATATCAAAAAATTTAAAATGACACAAAAGCTGGACTGGAAAAATTCACAAAGTTTTAAGATTGAAAAATGATATAAAAAAAAAACTTTGACATCCAAATCAATTGACACTGAAAGTTTGATCCAGTCATCACTTCTTCATGAAGATGACACAAAAGCTGCATTGAAAAATGTGTCCATTTAAATTTGAGAAACGGATACATTCGAAATTGAAACTTCACAGTCCACTTGGAGCCAACCAACTGGACATCAAAGGACAGAGGAAAAATTTATCAGGTTGACAATAAAATCTGAATTCCAAAATTTGAAGCCCTTTAAAATGAAAAAAAAAAAGAAAAATGTCTTGAAACAATTGAACCAGCAACCTAAGGATATCAGATCCAATCATCTACATCCAACAACCATATTATGAGAGATGAAGGCCAAGTATGTCTGTTGGGGCTCTCAAGAAAATTACAACTTAAAATAAATGTGCAATTTTGCTGAAATGAGCAATGAGCAAAGAAAGTCCTCAAAATTTTATGAACATTAACATTTTGAAAATAATCAAAGATAATGTGTTCCAGATCTCAACTTCTCCAACCATCTTCAAATTTAATGACCATTGAAACTGGGCAGAGTCACCAAGGGAAGTCACATTTTTTACCAGCAGACTTGACACAAAAATCCATTTTATGAATATAAAATCCTGATCTCATATTTAAAGATTAAAAATTACAATTGAAATCATCCAAAATATGCATTTTACCACAAAGTCCATTGTATGACACATTACATAAAAAACTGCATATTCACAGTGAGTTTCATCAAAAGCCAGCATACATATCAAAATGTAATGTTATAAAACATCCAAATTAAATCAAAAAAATTTGATACAGATATCAAAACTTCTCCAACCAAGTTTGAAATCCATATCCATTGACACTGGGCAGACACCATCAGTCACTTTCTCACTTCTTTTTCAGAAATGACACAAAAAGCTGGACTGGAAAAATGTATCAAAGTTTTAAAGTTTTAACCTTGAAAAATGAAACTTCAACTGCGCACTTGGAGCCAACTAGCAAAATCAACAAATCTTTCTGAAAGTTTGCATCCAACAGTCATCTTCATTAAGATGAAGGCCTTTACATTGAGAAAAAGTGTCCTTTCAGGCAGAGTTGAACCAGCGACCTAAGGATATCAGCATTATCATCTACAGTCCTCCGCTTCTACCAACTGAGCTATCAAAAACAGATCAAAAATGCCAGCTGAGGTTGACAATGAAATTACAATTCACTATGAATGTGCAATTTTGCTGAAATGCAATAATCAAGGGAAGAAGCCAAATTTTATGAACAATTCAAATTTTCTAAATCGCAGACCATAAATATAGATCCTGATATCAACATTTTACTAACCGTATTTGAGATCCAATCCCATAGTATGACACAAAACAAGAACAGTCACGTAATAAAACAACAGCATATTCACAGTGATACTCATCGATTGCCAGCATATACATAAAAATGTACCAAAGAACAAACTAAAAATAGTCTCAACAAGAAAAAATTTGTTCCAGATATCAACACTTCTCCAACCATCTTTGGACATCCATATCCATTGAAAACTGGGCAGAGTCTCCATCAGTCACTCTCTCATCTCTTCAGAAATGACAAAAGCTGCATCAAAAAAAATGTATCAAAAATTTAAAGAAAAATTTGAAAAATGAAACTTCAGAGGTGCACTTGGAGCCAAATACTTAAATTAACAATTCATTCTTCTGAAAGTTTGCATCAACAGTCATCTTCATGAAGATGAAGGCCTTTACATAAAAAAAAAAAAAAAAAGTGTCCTTTGAAAAGAAGTTGAACCAGCAACCTAAGGACATCAGCATTATCACCTACAGTCCTCTGCTCTACCAACTGAGCTATCGAAGGAAGAGAGCAAACATGTCTGTTGGGGCTCTCAATGAAATTACAACTTAGTATAAATGTGCAATTTTGCTGAAATGAGCAATGAGCAAAGAAAGAAGTCAAATTTTATGAACATTAACATTTTCTATAATCGCAGACCTATGCATAGAAAAAAAAAAAAAACCCCGATCTCAGCAAAAACAGAAGTCAAATTTAATGACCATTTACATTTTCCATCATCGCAGACCTGTACATCGACTCCGATATAAGCATTTTACCAGCTACACTTGAGATGCAAGTCCATTGTATGACACAAAAAAAAATTACATAATAAAAAACTGCATATTCACAGTGATACTCATCAAAATCCAGCATACATATCAAAAATGTAATTTTATAAAACTATCCAAATTAGTCTCATCAAGAAAAATTTGATCCAGATATCAACACTTCTCCAACCAAGTTTGACATCCATATCCATTGACACTGGGCAGAGTGACCATTAGTCACTTTCTCACATCTTTTCAGAAATGACACAAAACCTGGACTGAAAAAATGTATCAAAGTTTTAAAGTTTTAACCTTTGAAAAATGATACTTCAACTGCGCACTTGGAGCCAACTAGCAAAATCAACAAATCTTTTCTGAAAGTTTGCATCCAACAGTCATTTCATGAAGATGAAGGCCTTTACATTGAAAAATGTGTCCCATCCGGAGTCAAAACCAGCGACCTAAGGATATCAGCATATCAAAAACAGTCCTCCGCTCTAAAAGAACTGAGCTATCGAAGGACAGAGCAAAAAGGCCTGCTGAGGTTGACAATGAAATTACAATTCACATGAATGTGCAATTTTGCTGAAAACTGCAATAATCAAGGGAAGAAGCCAAATTTTATGAACAATTACACTTTCCTAAATCGAGACCTGAATATAGATCCTGATATCAGCATTTTACTAACTGTATTTGAGATCCAAATCCATAGTATGACACAAAAACAAGAAGTCAAATTTAATAAAACAACAGCAAATTTACAGTGATACTCTTCGATTGCCAGCATATACATAAAAAACTTACCGTGAATAAACTATCCAAAAATAGTCTCAACAAGATAAATGTGTTCCAGATATCAACATTTCCAACCATCTTTGACATCCATATCCATTGAAACTGGGCAGAGTCACCATCAGTCACTTCACTTCTCTTCAGAAATGACATAATTTTTCAGATCACTTTAAAGCTGCATTTGAAAAATGTATCAAAGATTTCAAAAAAATTCTCAAAATTTACGTTCAAAAGCCATCTGAATTTGAAAAAAAAAAATCAAAAGATTTAAAGACTTAAATATGAAAAATCTACTTCAAAGGTGCACTAGCTAAAAACTGGCATTAACAATTCATTCTAAAAGTTTCTCAACAGCCATCTGACTTTCCACAAAGATGAAGGCCTTGCTGAATTAAAAAAAAAAAAAATAAAAAGTGTCCTTTTAGGCAGAGTTGAACCAGCAACCTAAGGATATCAGCATATCACCAACAGTCTTCCGAAAAAAACCGAGTTATCAAATTTAAAGAGAGCAAGCATGTCTGTTGGGGGTCTCAAGCCAATATTACAACTTAGTATAAATGTGCAATTTTGCTTCAAATGAGCAATGAGAAATGAAAGAAGTCAAATTTTATGAACATTAACATTTTTAGACCATAGAATTAAAAAACAGAACAAATTAATGACATTTACAGTCCTCAATTTACCAACTGTACATATCAAAAATGTTTTAAAAGTCTGTCCATTTTATCCTGACATCGAACAATATAAAAATGCATTTTACACTTCACTTGAATCCAAGTCCATTGTATGACACAAGAAAAAAGGAAGAAAAAATTTGATCCAGATATCATTCATAACTCCAACCTGATTTGACATCCATATCCATTTCAAAGGCAATTTGATAAAACTATCCAAATTAGTATGAAACAAAACAAAATTGGATCCAAAAATCAACAAAGTTTTAAAGTTTGACATCCACTCTATCCATTGACACTGAGCAACTACATAAATCAACAACACTTTTTTGAAATCCATCCAACACAATCAAGATAAATGATGTTCCAGATATCAACATTGAAAAATTTGAATCCATATCCATTGAAACTGGGCAGAGTCACCATCAGTCACTTCTCCTTATTCATCTTCAAGATACTGAGCATTAAAATCACAAACTTTCATTACCAAAAGTATCAAAGATTTCAAACAAATTTGAAAAATGTTTGAGCCAAATACTGGCATTCTCAATCTAAAATTACGCTCATTTAAAAAAAAAAAAAAAAGTGTCCTAAAAAAAAGCAAATGTTGCAACCATTCAAAGAAAGAATCAATTTTATTAACATCTACAGTCCTCTGCTCTACCAACTGAGCTATTGAAGGAAGATCCTGAAAGCATGTCTGTTGGGACTCTCAATGAAATTACAACTTAGTATAAATGTGCAATTTTAAAAAAAAAAAGCAATGAGCAAAGAAAGAAGTCAAATTTTATGAACATTAACATTTTCAATAATCTAAAACCTATGCATAGAAAGTGATCTCAGCAAAAACAGAAGTCAAATTTAATGACCATTTACATTTTCCATCATATCCAACCTAGTACACAAAAATATGATATAAGCATTTTATTTAAGCCAGAATTTCCAATCCATTGTTTGATTTTTTAAGAGAAAAACACTGGCATTAAAACATAATTAATTCTTCATATTCACATTTGAAACTCATGAAAAATCCAGCATTGACACAAGAAAAAAATGTAATGTTAGAAAATCCAAATTAGTCTCATCAAAGAAAACTATTTGAATACAGATATCAAAAGCCTTAAAGCCAACCAAGTTTGAAATCCATATCCATTGACATGAAGCAGAGTGACCATCAGTCACTTTCTCACTTCTTTTCAGAAATGACACAAAAAAAGGACTGGAAAAATGTATCAAAGTTTTAAAGTTTTAACCTTGAAAAATGAGCACTTCAACTGCACTTGGAGCCAACTAGGAAATCAACAAATCTTTCTGAAAGTTTGCATCCAACAGTCATCTTTGAAGATGAAGGCCTTTACATTGAAAAAAGTGTCCCTGAACCAGCGACATAAGGATATCAGAAGGATCATCTACAGTCCTCCGCTCTATAGAACTAGCTATCAAAGGACAGATCAAAAAAGGCCAGCTGAGGTTGACAATGAAATTACAATTCACTATGAATAAAAATTTTGCTGAAACGATGCAATAATCAAGGGAAGAAGCCAAATTTTATGAACAATTACACTTTCCTAAATATCAGACCTGAATATAGATCCTGATATCAGCATTTTACTAACCGTGTATTTGAGATCCAAATCCATAGTATGACACAAAACAAGAACAATTACGTAATAAAACAACAGCATATTCACAGTGATACTCATCGATTGCCAGCATATACATAAAAAACTTACCGTGAATAAACTATCCAAAATAGTCTCAACAAGATAAATGTGTTCAGATATCAACACTTCTCCAACCATCTTTGACATCCATATCCATTGAAACTGGGCAGAGTCACCATCAGTCACTCTCTTACTTCTCTTCAGAAATGACACAAAAGCTGCATTTGAAAAATGTATCAAAGATTTAAAGATTTAAATTTGAAAAATGAAAACTTCAGAGGTGCACTTGGAGCCAAATACTGGCATTAACAATTCATTCTAAAAGTTTACGTTCAACAGCCATCTGAATGAACAAAGATGAAGGCCTTTTTAAAAAAAAAAAAAAAGAAAAAGTGTCCTTGAGCTGGAGTTGAACCAGCAACCTAAGGATATCAGCATTATCATCTACAGTCCTCCGCTCTACCAACTGAGCTATCGAAGGAAGAGAGCAAGCATGTCTGTTGGGGGTCTCAATGAAATTACAACTCAGTTTTAATGTGCAATTTTGCTGAAATGAGCAGTGAGCAAAGAAAGAAGTCAAATTTTATGAACATTAACATTTTCTATAATCGCAGACCTATGCATAGACCCCGATCTCAGCAAAAACAGAAGTCAAATTTAATGACCATTTACATTTTCCATCATCGCAGACCTGTACATCTACTCCGATATAAGCATTTTACCAGCTACACTTGAGATCCAAGTCCATTGTATGACACAAGAAAAATTACATAATTAAAAAACTGCATATTCACAGTGATACTCATCAAAATCCAGCATACATATCAAAATGTAATGTTATAAAACTATCCAAATTAGTCTCATCAAGAAAAATTTGATCCAGATATCAACACTTCTCCAACCAAGTTTGACATCCATATCCATTGACACTGGGCAGAGTGACCATTAGTCACTTTCTCACTTCTTTTCAGAAATGACACAAAAGCTGGACTGGAAAAATGTATCAAAGTTTTAAGTTTTAAAAATGATACTTCAACTGCGCACTTGGAGCCAACTAGCGAAATCAACAAATCTTTCTTAAAGTTTGCATCCAACAGTCATCTTCATGAAGATGAAGGCCTTTACATTGAAAAATGTGTCCTTCGAGTCAGAGTCGAATCAGCGACCTACGGATATCAGCATCATCATGTACAGTCCTCTGCTCTACCAACTGAGCTATCGAATGGACAGAGCAAAAGGGCCTGCTGAGGTTGACAATGAAATTACAATTCACTATGAATGTGCAATTTTGCTGAAACGTGCAATAATCAAGGGAAGAAGCCAAATTTTATGAACAATTACACTTTCCTAAATCGCAGACCTGAATATAGATCCTGATATCAGCATTTTACTAACCGTATTTGAGATCCAAATCCATAGTATGACACAAAACAAGAACAATTACGTAATAAAACAACAGCATATTCACAGTGATACTCATCGATTGCCAGCATATACATAAAAACTTACAGTGAATAAACTATCCAAAATAGTCTCAACAAGATAAATGTGTTCCAGATATCAACACTTCTCCAACCATCTTTGACATCCATATCCATTGAAACTGGGCAGAGTCACCATCAGTCACTCTCTCACTTCTCTTCAGAAATGAGACAAAAAAAAAGCTGCATTTGAAAAATGTATCAAAGATTTAAAGATTTAAATTTGAAAAATGAAACTTCAGAGGTGCACTTGGAGCCAAATACTGGCATTAACAATTCATTCTAAAAGTTTACGTTCAACAGCCATCTGAATTCCACAAAGATGAAGGCCTTTACATTTAAAAAAAAAAGAAAAAGTGTCCTTCGAGCCGGAGTTGAACCAGCGACCTAAGGATATCAGCATTATCACTTACATTCCTCTGCTCTACCAATTGAGCTATTGAAGGAAGAGAGCAAGCATGTCTGTTGGGGCTCTCAATGAAATTACAACTCAGTATAAATGTGCAATTTTGCTGAAATGAGCAATGAGCAAAGAAAGAAGTCAAATTTTATGAACATTAACATTTTCTATAATCGCAGACCTATGCATAGACCCCGATCTCAGCAAAAAACAGAAGTCAAATTTAATGACCATTTACATTTTCCATCATCGCAGACCTGTACATCGACTCCGATATAGGCATTTTACCAGCTACACTTGAGATGCAAGTCCATTGTGTGACACAAGAAAAATGACATAATTAAAAAACTGCATATTCACAGTGATACTCATTAAAATCCAGCATACATATCAAAATGCAATGTTATGAAACTATCCAAATTAGTCTCATCAAGAAAAATTTGATCCAGATATCAACACTTCTCCAACCAAGTTTGACATCCATATCCATTGACACTGGGCAGAGTGACCATCAGTCACTTTCTCACTTCTTTTCAGAAATGACACAAAAGCTGCACTGGAAAAGTGTATCAAAGTTTTAATGTTTTAATCTTGAAAAATAATACTTCAACTGCGCACTTGGAGCCAACTAGCGAAATCAACAAATCTTTCTGAAAGTTTGCATCCAACAGTCATCTTCATGAAGATGAAGGCCTTTACATTGAAAAATGTGTCCTTCGAGTTGTAGTCGAACCAGCGACCTAAGGATATCAACTTTATCATCTACAGTGTTCCACCCTACCAACTGAGCTATCGAAGGGACAGAGCAAAATCGCCTGCTGAGGTTGACAATGAAATTACAATTCACTATGAACGTGCCATTTTGCCTGAAACGTGCAATAATCAAGAATAGAGGCCAAATTTTATGAACAATTACACTTTCCAAAATCGCAGACCTGAATATAGATCCTGATATCAGCATTTTACTAACCGTATTTGAGATCCAAATCCGTTGTATGACACAAAACGAGAACAATTACATAATTAAACAACAGTGATACTCATCGTGCACTTGGAGCCAAATACCGTAATCAACAATTCTTTCCGAAAGTTTGCATCCAACAGTCATCTGAATTTCATAAGATGAAGGTTTTTACATTTACAAATGTGTCCTTCGCGCCGTAGTCGAACCAGTGAAAAAGAAGATTTTCGGTATTCCTGAAAAAGTTCGCTCTCTTCAGGTTTTCAATGTACTTTCTTACTTTGCATTATCCTTTCTGGGAACGAAAATTTAAATATCATAATTCAATAAAATAACACTTCCTTTCCTACCCATTGCACGCACAATACTTCAGTGGCCAAGTCTTCTTATCCTGAAAAATATGCTTTGCCAATGCCATTTTTCACCAATTCAAAAACAATTTCTCTCCTTACAGGTTTTCAATGTACTTTCTTGCTTTGCATTTTAGTTTTTGGGAACGAAAAATTAAATATTATAATACAATAAAATAACACCTTCTTTCCTACTCATTGCACGCACAATACTTCAGTGGCCAAGCCTTCTTATCCTGAAAAGTATGCTTTGCCAATGCCATTTTCCACCAATTCAAAAGCAATTTCAAACTTCCTAAAGTTTTTCCATTCTGACAGAAGCCGAAAGAAGCACTACTTATAGTAACCAGCAGATGACACTAAATTCCTTCAATCATGATGACAGTTCAAACAGAAAAGAAACATAATTCTCTAGCAGTCATACCACAAGAAACATTCGCTCTGTCTGATCAAGGCGAACATCATTTTCTCGTCCTGAATCCGCACGTGAACAGACGACGAAAAACTGGAAAAGTTCAAGTCCATTCATCTAGTCAGGTTCCAAAGACAGCCGTGAAGTGCTGCAGAATGTAAATGAGTTGGCAAAAAAAAAAAAAGTATGAAGACCAACTTGTACTCAGTTCATTCATTCTTCCCAAGTGCACACAGCAGGCATACGCATACATTCTCTGAGAACATCTACTCCATTCAGATTTTCGTGCTTTCATCGGCACATTGATTTGGTGTGGGAGCTGACACAACACACAAAAAAGATACCACTCCAAACAGAAAAGAAGCACAGTACAAAAGCCGGGCATTTTGTTCATCAGCTATTTGGCACAAAAAGACAAAACATTCCGGTCCACACAACACACAAAAAATTCACATACACAATGAACAAATAAAAGAAATATTACAGGTAACACAATTAAAAATACGTCATCACATCATTCAGTCATCATTCATAGAACCTTGCGGGTGCTCCAATAGCGCAAGACAAACATCTAATCGCGAAAGTTCTTTTATCAGCGTTTACAGAGAGTGAGCTCAGATCCGCGGACATCTCCCGTGCAAGGGCACAGCACAGCATGTGTTCTTCCTGTCGTACGCCAGTCTTGCGGCAACGCACACATTGTTCAGGTGCTGTACGGCTCTTCCGTCCCATTTCCACTCGCAGCCTGTGAGAAGACACCCAAAAACAAGTAAAACTTATTCACAAAGTGGAGGGACGGACAAATCTCATTATGATGGCTCAGAAGGTCTTGTGTCTTGTTCCTCCTTTCGATCATACTTTCGCAATCAAATTTGCTTTTGTCTTCATTAACAAGCATGCCACATTCATCACGTTATTCCTCCAAATAAATCAATTTCTCAGTCAGCCTTCAATTTCAATTTTTCAGTCAGACCCAGTTCTGGTGATTTCAGCAATCTCCTCAGCGGTTTTCTTTGCTTGAAATCTGGCCAGTAATTTGACTCTCTTGATTGAACAACCAATGCATGAATGCAAACAGGAAAATGGACTCACCTCTCATTGCGGGCCAATTCCTTAGCGTCTCAGCTGTCAATCTACAGAAGCCGACGGGGGGGGTTGCTGCGGGAGCAACTGCCACCGCAATGCCACAGTCGAGCGGTCACTGCCCCTCCAGTCTTGACACTAGGCAAGAAACAAAATATTTCCAAAAAAGGGCTGGACGAAAACTCAAGTTTAAGACTCACAATTCATTATACTTTCTTTCAGGGCCGGTTGTACACTGCTCTGATTGGGGTCGCAATCAGAGATTTGGGGTGGGCAACTTTCAACCTGTATCACACTATGCCATACTACATTCTACAGGCCCTTTTGTTTTTGGTAGTTAAAATGTCTGATGACTAGAGGTGTAATATAGATGGCACTCAAACAATAAATTTGAACAATTATTAACTAGGCTTATGTTTTCACATAAAATTGCTAGTCGCATCTGTTTTAAAAGTAGTAAAATATCAAAGAAATGCTATTGGATTCAAATGCACAAAGCAACCACTAAGGGCATGAGCCATCTTTTTATGAAGCAAATGCTATGCAACTCTTCCATATCTATGTTCTTGATCATGGATTTCTTTATGAGCCAAAATGACCAAATTCATTGACCAGTCGGGAGTGGGCGGGAAGTGCAAAGCTGCAGCGGGGCAGTAGAAGCAATGGAGTCCGTGTTTCACCAAAATCTGTGACCCCTTGAAGACCTGACTGCAGATACAATTGGCTATCCTTGGCTTTGTTAAGTAACCACAAATAGGTGCACAATGATCATTCAGTTGAATAAAGTATGACTTCATCTACCGAGATAACACTAGCGAACTACCTGTCCTACGAAAAAGAATGAAAGCAACCAAGTGACTGCTGCACGTAGCTTGCTTGCTTGTGCTTGCAAGCTAACATTTGCTAACGTTAGCTAGCAATCAATTGAGCAGAGCAGAGCTCAAAATGCAGAACAACATCATGACAAACAATTAGTAGGGACTCCAGATGACCAAAATACATAGATGTAGCTGTTATTGGTCAATTTCAATTCAAATTCAATATGCTACCTTGCTAAGAATTTCTGAGCGAGGTAATCTCTGTTGGCATCTGTGAGAAGCAGCATGGAACAGCAGCGCAGCTAGATGGCTAGAATTCAAGGCACAGGTAATATTTTTAAACAGTGATATATACTGTGATAGTGGAGCCACAACATTTAGAAGAAATGAATTGGAGCTTACTGAGGGTAAAAGGCCTCTGAGGCAAAGGCAGCATCATTTTCTTTCTTTTAATGAAACTTTATTTGTGTGAAACAGGCGTCAATAGGGTTTCCGTGAGAGACTCCCCGAGGGCGATGACGTCAGAGCTACCAGGACTTTGCGCATGCACAGTAGGGCTGAGTGGAGCCCCTTTCAAAGGATACCCATCTTCAGGTGTTTATTGTTGGAAATGATGGCCTAGTGGATAAGAGCAAGAGCAAGAGCAAGAGCAAGAGCAAGAGCCTTGTGTGCAGAGATTTTGAGTTCGAAAAGGTACATTAAAGAAATTTTTGAAGCCCAGCCTTAAACTTCAAAAAAGGTCAGGGTGCTTTCAGTGGCTGCAATTCAGAAGGCTGGGTAATTATGTTACTGCCCTGTCAGTCTTTTTGTTCAAGGTCAGAGGTGTGCATGCAAAGACCCCAATTTGGTGATTCATATCAGTTTTTATCCAATTAACTCTCTCACTCTCAGGTGAAGTTGTGAAGAGACAATTGAAGCTCATTAACTCCACCTGTGTAAAACATTATTTAATGAGCTGCCTTCTCTCATTTGAGGGAGGGAGTGGATTTGTTTGCTGTTGGCTCGCTGATTTTATGGGTTTCCTTTGGATAATTTAATGTGCTTAGCCTAATAAATTAATTTTTTACCTCTATTTCCCTGTGTAATCTCCCTTCTTGTTACGGCCTTTGATTTGGGTCTTAACAGTTGGGGGGCTCGTCCGGGAGATGGATACTTTGCTTTGTGGACTTTTTTGGTAGTTAGTAGAAGCCTTTGCCATTGCTGGACAGGGTTCAGTTTGTTGTGTTTTCCCTCAGCTGGTAGTAAACTACAGTGAGTGCATATTGGCTCTGTGTATACAGCTGTTTTTGGGAATGAGATTTTGCTACCTGTCCTTGCGCCTGAGCACAAAGTAGCTTCGCATTTTGTTGGTCTGTGAACTGGATAGAGTTTGGAGTTTGAATGTTGGGGTGCCTAGTGGAGCTCATTGAGTTCTGTGTGTGCTATTGGGAGATGCATAGGGAAATCTTTACTGAAGGCTATGGCATGTTTGGTTTGTTTTGCTTTTGTTTGTTTGGCCATACCATTAAGCTGGTGCATTGAATTGACTGAGTTGAGGTGAAATTGTTTAATCCTGTACTTGTGGAGAATGTAACAATGTTTTCCTGGTTTTAGCTTTATTTGATGTCAAATGGGACATGTGAATCAACCAGTGCATGGCAGTTAGATTTTGTAGGGTAGCCGTCGGGCAAGCCCAGGGTGGCTTGTCACTATTTTTCCTTTTTTATTCTTCCCGGTGAATATGGGGGACTGAATGGCATTGCCAATCATGAGTCCAAAAAGTCGGCGAAGACTAGATTACGTTAGGCGGGGTACACACATAAGGATTTTTTAAATCTGAAGAGATTTTTTATCTGCTACAGACCCCACACATGAAGATAAAAAATCAGGCACTGAACAGTTTTGATCGTTCTGTGTGTGGTGTGCTCCGATAATCTCAACGCTGCCCACCACATACATAACGATTCTGTTCCATCACCGATCTAGAATCTAGTCCTCCAAGACAGAAATCTCACGAGATCAAACGTGATCTGACAAAAACGAAGAAGAAGAAACATAGCAACAACAAACACAAGATGCAGCATGGAAGAGGACACACGAGAGGAGGAAATGATGGTGGTCAGCTCGCTTCTTGATTGGCTACATTCCGTTTCACGTCACAATTCACCGAGTCATGACTCGGGAGTCGTCAGCTTT